CTCTGCCAAAAGCAAATCTTGAAAAGAAAAGCAGAAAACTGGAATTCAATGTTTTTCTGCACAAAAGAACAAAAGTTTGCTTTTAAGATTTACTATTCTGAAAAAATCCTGGGAGATAATAAGCTCAAAAAAGACATTCAAAGGCTCACAAGAAACCAAACAAACATACATTGGGAATTAAATGAATCAATAATTTTCAGACTTGTAAAGTATATCACCGATAACCCTGACGAGAATTTATGGAACTATGGAAACCCAAATATTATACAAATTCAAGATACCTGAGAAACAGATATCATGAATTACCATAACCTGTATAATTGGGATCAGCAATTAAACCATGAGAATGAAAATGACTTTGAATTGTCAGAAGTATTTGAAGAAAATAGAATTAGGGAAGAAGACCAAATCTACCAAGCAGTTGAAGAATCACTCCAAGAAATCCATAATAATCAAAAAGGGAAAGAAAAAGAAGACTTTGAAGAAAGTTTACGGAAAAGCAATGTCGACCTTTGCAAAGAATGTTTGATGCCAATTAAAAGAAGAAAAGAAGGAGATAAAGATTTCAAAAAGGATTACTGCGATCAATGTTTCGAGGACATAGAATCAAGAATGATTATCATAGACGAAGAAAGACCCAAAGAAAAAGAAAGACTCGCTATAGAAGAAGAACAATTCCACTACGAACCTGAAAATATTATCGAATATGATGAAGAAATACGCCGAGACAAATATCAAGAACAAATAGACCAGAACGCCCAAGACTTGCGAGAAATGACACAAATAATTTTAATATTCCAACTAAAAAATGAAGAAACCACAACAAGGGTCCAAACCCTCGAAAAACTCACCCTAAAGTTAACCACTAGAAACGACCAATTGGAACAAAAAATAAAAGACCTTGAAAACCAAAGTGTGGTACTAAAAAGAAGACTCGAATATCTTGAAAATAATTCCAAAAAGATTTTAAAATTTACCACTAGCTCCCAAACAGAATTTATTAATTAGACTAAATACACAGTGGCTCTCGATATAATGGACCATCGATATAACGGATATTGCTTAGTGCGGAGATTTATAATGGAACCAAATTATTATTAGTAAAGTTATTTGGATATACCGGAGATTAATAGTAATCTCGCGATATAATTTATAACGGATTTTAATTTAAAACCATTATATGACAATATAGTAAAAAATCATTTGATTAAACGGGCACTCATATTATTGGTTCATTTTTGTAGATTTAGATCTACCTGTGACTACATGTGACTTCCCGTGATAACTAACCAATCATAATATATAATTATTAAAACGATTTATCATTTTAAATTTTATATGAAGCTTACAAACTTATGAATATATGCCAAAAAATAGAACGAAAGTGATATTTATTACGATATATCAACCAAACTTTGATTTATAGTTAACAACTTAAATGCATTATAAGAACAGATTAAGCCCGGTTCTTCTATTAAATTTTATTTAAATTTAATGTAATAAAATTAGTTTAGATGAACATGCTTCCAATCACCTTCATTCGATAGTATAATTTGATAGTCCAATAGCTGGCTAAGTAAAGTTTTATTTTGCAACAGTGTTATTACGGTAAACTTCTGTTACATTCTCAAAAAGTACTTTAAAATATATAAATAGGTTACCCGGGCAATTTGATTTACGTAAGCTGATCATACGGATATTCTTTTACGAGTGCTTGAACGACTCAAGTAGCTAGATTTGTACTAAAGTTAGAGGCAAACCGGTTATTATAATTTAACTTTAAATTAGATTAACAATAAACCGGATTTTACTAGATAATTTATATCATAATCATACATATTAGTATTAGAAATGAACAATAGAACAGAATGCCCAGCTATTTCTAGTATCTAAAATAGCACAAGTGATCTTACGATAACCACATAACCAGAATTGTTTTATTTTTAATTCTATTTCTATAGAATAAAAATAAAAAATTTTATCGAGTTTAGTTTGATCGTTTTCATGATATCACTAGTGCTATTTTAGATATTGGGCACTGCACTAAAATAACGATCTAAATCAAGAAATGAAACATGCATAAACGCTATAATAATTTGAAATATTGCATGTAACATCAAGATAATTATGAAAAAAATATAACGATAAGGTTTCAGAGTGAATAATAATAACAATGGTAAATAATTGTCATGATCAAGTTGAGGAGTGCCTAGCGCTAGAGTTAATAGCATATTGGCTCATTGGTTCCCGAATGCATAAAAAATGTAATCATCAGTGAATCGTATAAGTAATTAATGATGTAATTTGACGTAATTGATATGAGTCAAATGTTATATGTATAAAAAATAAGAAAATAAAAATTTAATCACTTCTTTCATTTTTTAAAAAATAGTAAAAGGTCAATTAGATGCTTACCTTCATATTAAGACATTGGTGACCTTACTATTGAATAAGTTGTTATATACCCTATAATTTATAATTTAAATAATGAACTTAACTGACTAGCAATATGTAAGTTTTCAGAATGATATAAGGTTTCAGAACGATATAATAATAATAAATAGTTGAATTGTATATAAAAGAATGAACTTAACCCGATAAAAAAAAAAAAAAAAAAAAAAAAAACAGAAAATGCAAGAGCAATTGGAGCTTGAGTATTATACACGAGTATATGTAAAAAAAAAAAAAAAGTAAATTTTAATAAGAAACATTGAATCTGGAACTCATTATTTTGGTATCTAAATAAGGATTGGACGATTAGTGATGATAGTAAAATTTCATATCAAGAAATTTATAAAAACACTTATAGAGATTAGTGTATGGCAGTAAAAAAAGGATAATAATTATATTTTCGCTAAGTAATCTGTATAAATAACCTGTAAAAAATAAATATAAAGAAGCATAATCCAAATCGCATATTGATAAATTGTATTCGTTATGAATAAAATCAAAAAACGCAAAGAAAACTCTGATACCAGTATAAAGAAGAGAATATCTTTAACTGGAGCACAAAAAAAAGAATTATGTGAAAAAAAACGTAATAATCCTAATTTAAAAGGAGTAAATTTGGCTAAAGAGTATGGAATAAGTGAACAATCAGTATCTGATATTCTCAAACGCTCTGAGTACTGGTTAGGTCTCAATGACGCTTCCACTTTAATCCAAGCTAAACGTCAAAGAAAGCCTGATAATCCTGAACTTGAAGAGGCGATGTCTATTTGGGTTGAGCAAGCAATTAAAAATGAACTTACTCTTACTGGTCATCTTCTTCAAGCCAAGGCTAAGGAATTCACTAATAAATTTGAAATTACCGGATTTAATGCATCCGATGGTTGGCTGGCTAATTTTAAAAAAAGAAATGTTATTTCTTCTTATCGACGTCGAGGAGAAGCTGGTAGTGTGCCTTTGGAAGATGTTTTAAAATTTCGTCTAGAACTTCAAGATGTTCTTCGAAATTATGAGCCTAGAGATATATTTAACTGTGATGAAACAGCACTTTTTTGGCGACTTGAGCCAAGCAAGACACTCGCCCATGGACCAGTTTTAGGAAAAAAAAAATCAAAGGATAGAGTTACAGTTATGATTACTTGTAATTCTACTGGTGATGAAAAATTACCACTTCTCTTTATTCACAAATACAAAAACCCACGTGTTCTTCATGGTATTGAAAAATCTACTCTTTCAGTCTGGTATTACTGGAATAAAAAAGGATGGATGCAAAGAAGTATATTTAACCATTTTTTAGAACGATTCAATAGTCAAATGAGACTTGCTCAACGAAACATTATTTTACTTCTTGATAATGCTTCGTCACACAATTCAGAAAATATTCAAGACTTATCAAATATTTGTATACACTTTTTACCACCAAATACAACATCTTGTCTTCAACCTATCGATCAAGGAATTGGTTATAGCCTCAAGGTAATTTTTAAATATATAATTTATAATTTTACTATTCAATAAAAAATTATATTTATTATTTTTTCTTGTAGGCACAATATCGGCGTATTTTTTGTCAAAACCGTCTTGAAGCTTATGATGCGATTACTGAAGACAATCTGGTTCCTCCTGATGTTACATTATATGATGCAATTAATTTTGTAGCTCAAGCATGGAAAAATGTTACTTCAAGTACAATTATTCGTAGCTGGGGTAGAGCTGGTATACTTCCATCTATGGAAAATTTGGATGATACTATGCATGAAGAAACTGAATTGGAAGCCTCTGCATCTGAAGAAGCCGAATTGGAAGCAGAGATTATTAATCTTATTGAATGTTTACCAATTGATGATCCCTTAGATGTACAAGAATATATCGAGATTGATAATTATATGAACATCGAAGAAGACTTAACTATAAATGAAATTGTTGATATAGTTAACGGACAAGATGAGAGTGAATCAGAAAAAGAACAAGAAGAAATGGTTAAAATTGGGGATGCAATCGTAGGACTTGATAACTTGATAAAATATGTTCAGCAAAATGATCTAGAAATTACTTCATCTTTAATGAAAGATTTGTGTAGTCTTAAAAAGTATATCAGCTATTTGCGTAATGAAAGTAAAAGACAGGCTACATTAGAAGAATTTATTAACCTTACGGTTTAGAAATTTTTATTTTATTTTTCGAATAGCTAGTAATACAACATTACTAATATAAATATAAACAAAGTTATAAGTTTATTAAATATAGCAATTTTATATGAAATAAAATATATATTTAATTTCTTATTACAGTATAAGAATCTCTATTTCCATGGTGGAGAAAATATATCTGGCACCACAAATAAATTCTTTTATTTAGATATTTCTAAATCGTTTACAATAACATATTGTTCTTACTTACACTAGCAACCTTTGAGTAATTCTTAGAGATATTATAGTCCCAAAATAACTGCTTCAGCAGTTAAATAACAGTCCAAGTTCAAATTTAATTAAAAGCAGTTCAGAGCTAATAAATCTGATACACATAATATATTGGATATTGCCATTATTACCTGATTATATAGCTCTGATAATGACTCCAATTATAGTCTTTAGTCTGGTTTGGTCTAGTTCACAAATCAATAGATAAAATATATAAACAGTCTTTTCTAAACTAGACCGAACTAGACTGGGCTATGACATCTCTAGAAATTCTGATTAAAGGAATAAAAATAGCTCGCTACTAGTAATATAGTAGAATCATCCCAATAATTGCCGTAACTAGTTACAGCAATCATTGGGACAAATCTAGCATCGACCATTGAAGCTGTTGAAGGTGATCATGTTCAAATTACTACTTGATACCAAACAGCTAATATCAATTGGTATATAAATCAACTAAAGGTACTTATAGTCATTAGTCCAATATATAAAGCTCAATTTCACGAAAAAAAGATGCTAAAGCATGTAATAGTGAAAAAAATGATATAATTTTTATTTTCCCCCGCTATTTAAATATCATGCTGGTTAATAAATATAGCGATAGATTTTCAATTCTTGTTCACCAATTACCGCAATATGAATAGGCTCATTTTCGAATTCTAATTATTTGTACTTTAGTTTTGGTTCTAATAACACTTTCTTCGCATGCTCCTAGTATCTTGATTGCCTTTATTTATTCAATTATAGGGAAAAAAGACCAGAGTCAATTGATTTACCCCGACGTGACATATACATGTATGTATATTATAGATGCCTGACGAAATTATTTTGCTGTTGACGAAATTGATTTCGTCATATATTTTGTCAGTGACGAAATTGATTTTGCCATATATTTCGTCAGGTCACGTGAATTTCGTCAGGCATCACTAATGTATATGCATATAATTAAATCAATCACATATCGATATTACATTGTGTATTTTGTTAAATCGTTAAGTTATAATTGCTTGACATGTTCCAAATAAAAGTACTTGCTATAAGTATTAGCAAACTAATAATACTTGATTAAATTAGTTTGTTGTAGGTTTGTATTTTTGATGCTTAAAAAAATATTTTCTTGATATAGCGGAGAACCATATGATTTATTATAATATCCGGTATATCATGAGATTTTGATATTATGGAGCTTTTGATATAACGGAGCAAAGGACTGGAACCATGGCCTCCGTTATATCAAGAGCCACTGTGTATATAGTTTGTAGATATATATACTATATTGAATTTATACTTTGAATTACTGATTAAACTTTTGTTTGGTTTGCCCTTTTGGAGGCATATATTATTATTTTTTTGTATAGAGTTGGTTTGGCATACTACAAAGATAGTTGTAAGTAACTCTTCTTTACTATTAGCAGGTTTAATAGTAAGTTTGCTTAGGTATTAAAGATTAATTATATATTAGTATATTGTTTTGTTTTTTCTACTTTGCAAATCTGTTGCAATATAGTTTCTATATTTGTTTATATATTTTAGAGAAGATAAGCAGTAGTGTTTAAATAATAATATTAGCTATCTTTTTATATTATATATCAAGTATTAATAGTGTTTGTAAAAAGTAAGAGAAAATTAATCTTTTAAAGTAATTAATAGTGAGTATAGTAAAGAAAAAAAGTACTAGGAGTAACTGAATATAAGATAGAATTAAATAAGATCTATAACTACTTTGTATAATATCAGGATAAATTAGTAAGGAGTTTGGTAGTAATTTTTGTAATTAAAATATATATAATTTGTCTAAAGGTTTAGAAGTTTTGACAAGTAAGCCAGTATATAAACAAGTTTAAGCTGTTGTATAAAAAGCAAATAAGAGTATAGTAGGTTTTAGATAAAATAAGATAAAAGTGGTAGTGCATTAGTAAATCATTAAAAAGATTCTTGAATCTAAAGGCTTTTATTTAGTTTAGTTTGAGAGATATAATATATATTTGTAGTAGCTTTTTGATTATTGTTAATAAAGTATTAGATAGAGTTCTAATTAGTCGCTAATATATAGTTTTCTTATTTTGTATTATATTTTGAGAGAACCATATTGCTATGGTTTGTGCTTTGCTAATAGTTTTAACAAATTGTTTTGTGAGTTTTTTTATATAGTATTCTAGTTATTAGATAGTGAAGTGTAAATTGTATAAATTAGTATAGTTGAAGTAAAGGTTTGAGTTTGTTGTTGTTAGTGTTTTTTGGCTAGTAAGTCTGCAGTATTATTAAACTAATTATCTGCATGTACTAAAACTTTGTAAAAAGTAAGCTAAATGTTAAAAGTCTTGATAGTATTAAGAATCAAGTGTCAAATATGCTAGTAGTTAAACTTAAAATATTTGGTAAACTTTTAATATAGTAATATTAATTTTAAAGTTTATTATTTTAATATAAATTTGAATTATATACAGTAATTGTAAATTTTATTTAATAAATAATAACAATATATTTTATTTATAGCAAATAATAATGTTTTTTTTTTTTTTGGCAATCCTGCTTTTATTAATCAAAGAATATATATAATATTATACAAAGGTTTTAAACTATTGCTCTCAACCTTTTATAATAAAAACTCACTCAGCTGCCTTAAAGGTGCCCAAATGCAATCTGCTGCAACAACATGTTCTCTCCCTCACAGGGTCCTAACTTTCTAGAACTAATCTGTAAGATTAACAAAAGCCTGTTATTAGCTTGTCAAGATTGCTGAATTTCTCCTTTCTTAAAACTTTTCTTATCTAGATCTGGCAGAAAAGTTAATTCCTTACTTCTATGCAAAAAACAAACCAAGTGCCATATTTACAAAAGAAATAAAA